GCCATAATAATTAAAAAATATCGATTGTCTCACTGGGACATATATTTGAATTAAAGCAATTGGGTAATAGAAGTTGTACAAATATATTCCAGTTTATAAATTCTCACATATTATCCACACCTCCCCTTTTGCTTTTTGTTTTTTATTTTAAATGCTCTGAAGATGACAACAAAGTCCAAATTCACTTAAAAAGTTGTCACTTAGAGTAACTTAAATGTTTTCTCCTGTGACTTTGTTACGTTTTCCTGATAATCATGTATTTCTAGATTGTGAACTTTACATAATTGACACTGGTTGCATCACAGCAGTGTAGTTCCCCGTATTCTAAGGGTCCCCATCTCACTTTTTGTGTCATATTTTCTAAGGAATTCATATCGGACATATGAGTTCAAAGAATAATTAATACTTTGTTTGTAATCTCTATCCTTTCCATATCGGCGGCATATTGTATATTGGTACAAGCCCAGGATCTTCTGTCAGGGTGACTTGTTTTAAGTACTAACATTCATTCCTTTTAGCTGTGTGGCTGTGCAGAAGTCACTAAATACTTGTTATACTGTAGCTCTCTACTGTGGCATGATGACAATAGTACAGCTGTCTCATGGGAATGTTGTGAGCATTAACTGTCTCAGTGTCCATGAAACACTTAATTGCTATTGATCATTCTTGATTATCCCAGAGCCTAGGAAAGATGTACAAAAAGCCCAGTAAAGATAGTTTAGCATTGCATATTGTATCACAAGCAGAATCTATATGTGAAAACTGTATCAACTTGCCATTTCCTTCTAAACCAGAAAATGTGTACACACATATTCACCACAAAGATACCTGGCTGTGTAATCATCACAACCTCAAAGATCTGATTCTGAGTCTCTGTTTCTTGAAATTCTTAGAATACCTCACAAAAGATTAAAAACCAAATTATCTTTAATGACCCCAAAGATAATCTTCCAGGTATAAATTATATTCCAATTTTTGTTTGGTTCAAATGTATTAGTTGATCTTTTAAGATTTCTTCAGCAATGCAGAGTAATGCATTTCCCCTTGTATTTCTATATTCATTACATAGAAAACAACTGTGTGGAATAAAAGGAACTGAAGATTACAGTAAACGAGAGGCAAGATCAGTAGCAGTTACTATGTAATCTTTCTATGTGAAATAACTAATGCCAAAATGAAGGTCAACTGGAATATATCATTGATGAAATTATAGCAAATAGAACTATGACCTTTCTGAATGCTATCATTGTAAAAGCATAAGAAAATTGTTTCAATGTGATAATGTGATATGGTACATGAAATAATTTCAAATCGTAGACCCCAAAATGTTATTTAAAATTGCATGCTTTCATATCATCAGTTAATATTAACAACAAAAAACAGAAACATAAAAATACTGTAACTAACTGGCTTTTTTTTTTAACTTCTTTGAATTTAAAGAGCTTTCAGGGCCATTCTGAGTTGAGTAAATGGATTGTAAAAATGGATCTGTTGTGACTGAATTTATTCTAGTAGGGTTTTCTGGAGATTGGAATCTTCAGGTTTTCTGCTTTGTGACATTTTCCTTGATCTATGGTGCTACTGTGGTGGGAAACATTCTCATTATGGTAACAGTGACAGCTAATTCCACCCTTCATTCGTCCATGTATTTCCTTCTTGCAAACCTCTCCTTCTTGGATATGTGTCTTTCCACTACTACAACACCCATGATGATCACAGACTTGCTTGCTGAACACAAGACCATCTCTTTATGGGGCTGCATGGCCCAGATGTTCTTCATGCACTTCTTTGGGGGTGCTGAGATGACGCTTTTGATAGTCATGGCCTTTGACAGATATGTGGCCATATGCAAGCCCCTGCACTACAGGACGATCATGAACCAAAAGTTGCTGAGTAGGTTTGTGGCTTTTTCCTGGCTAATTGGCTTCATACACACCATGAGCCAGATGGTATTAACTGTGAACCTGCCTTACTATGGCCACAATGTTGTAGATAACATATTTTGTGATCTTCCCCTGGTTATCAAGCTTGCTTGTATTGAAACATATATTCTGGAATTATTTGTCATTGCTGACAGTGGGCTGCTCTCTTTCACCTGTTTTATCTTCTTGCTTGTCTCCTACAGTGCCATTCTAGCCACTGTAAAACACAAATCACCGGGAAGTCTCTCCAAGGCTCTTTCCACATTATCTGCACACATAATTGTGGTCACCCTTTTCTTTGGACCCTGCATCTTTATCTATGCCTGGCCGTTTGGTAGTTTTGCAAGCAATAAAACACTTGCTGTATTTTACACTGTTATTACACCCTTACTAAATCCTATTATTTACACTCTGAGAAATCAGAAAATGCAAAAGGCCATGAGAAAATCATGGCTCCAGCAGATTAGCTAACTCTACACAGAACTTCTAGATTTTAGTATTATATGGTTCACACAGCTTTCAAATAAAATGGCTAGGTAAATTAAAGTTTCTGGATAATATGTTGTTTTACTTTTATATTGGAATCATATACCAAACAGAGGAAAAGATGATACCAAATTACATTAAATTCACAGCTAATGCTTTTATAACAGAGCTAAGAAGGGTAATGAATTTCCAGTAACATACACAATGAAATTATTGAGCCTTTTCTCCTTACGCAAGGAAATACACATACCTGTGAAGAAGTAATTATAATAGAATATAAGATCCAGTAGGTACAGATAATTAACTACATTCAAAATTATATTATATTATATTGTATTATATTATATCATATTATTATTTATTTTTGAGAACGGGTAGCTCTGTAGCCCCAGCTGGCCTGGAACTCGCTATGTAGACCAGTCTGGCCTCAATCTCACAGAAACCCACCTGCCTCTGTCTCTCAAGTGCTGGGATTAAAGGTGTGCACCACCTTGCCCGGCTTATATTATTTTTAGTTAGGGACATGAATAAATCATGACTGACATAGACTTATAGAGGAAATACAATGTTTATTTCTTGAATCAATGAGACAAAAATTATATCAACTAATTAAAAACACTGAGTGAAAAATGCAAAGGAAACAGCTGAAGGAAGGCTGATTTCAATGCAACTGCATTGGATCAATTGAAACCAATAAAGTAAATAAAAACAATATGACAATGTGTGAGTTTATGTTGTGTAAGAGGACGTGCAAGTACCTTCCTGTGGCTTTACATCAAACTAGTATGATTAAGAGTAAATGAATATAAACCACCAGACAAATCTAGAATAGTCACTGCTAGAAAGTGTGTTGTATTCTGTTACTACACACAAAGCAAGAAATCATTACAGTCTTATGGAAATCCTGTATTCAAGGACACTTGGCCAATTGTAAGGTAAACTATGTATATGCTGCTGTGGAGAATTACGCTCCATTTGACAAAATATTGTGTAAGATTGTTATTTCTGTCCATATAGCATATACAATATCCTAAAAACATTTAGTTAAAAAATAGCCAGTGTTTCTAGTTCTTTGAAATGACTTCAAAATTCATAAAAGAAAAATCATGTCTCAGGCCCAGTAAGAAAATCAAATATATTTCTAGGAAGGTAAATTAGCGCTCTGAGATTTCATAATACCATGTCTACAACTCCTTTAAAGAGAACCTTGAATATTACAAAGTATTGTGGATTGGGATGCCAAAATAAAGTGGTTGAAAGCAACATTAAAAGCTGAGACCAGAAAGGAAACAGAAATGTGTAAGAAGACATGAAATGTGTAAGGAAGAACAAAACAAATTAAACATATGTGTCAATGTTGGTTCTTAGAGATGATTAAAACAACTGTTTCCCAAAGAAGAATTTTGATGATCATTACATTCTGTGTATTATCTAAGACATAAAAAAGTTTTTTTACTTCCTTAACAGTGATGTAAATCATATACTCCTAAAATAATGTCTTCAAATTGTCCATAATCTCTTTCTTACTATAACCATCTTGATATTATAATAGGAGTGAATGCTAAGGACTAGGTACCCAAGGACATTGTAAAAGTAATTGTTGAATCTGTGTAAAATCTTGAAATTTACTACAGTTTTTCACATAGTTTTCCAAGTCTTCTGAAAGGTTCTTGCTCTTGTAAGTACAAATATTTTCTTGCTTATCTTCTTTTTTTCTTAATCATCTTTGATTTTAAGCCATTGAACCACTTGCTGAATCATTTGAATTTGTGCAAAAGTATGAGTATCAATAAGATATTTCACTAATCTTGAAAAAATGTAACAAGAAAAGCATTTATCACTAGAACTCCATCAAAAGAAAATTTACTTGTTGCTTTGCAACCAAATAATAACTCACAAAAATATGAGTAACTCTTACAAAATGTATTCAAGATAAATACCTGGAATCTTTAAAAGCAGTGCTAAAATAAATTGAAAGGGTATAAACGAAGGAATAGATGTGCATTGTTTAGAAGACTAAACATGAAGGTATTATTTCTTTTGCAATGGTTGATTAAAATCTCCTTAATCACAATCAGATAATAGGCTTTCTGTAATATGTAATAAATGGGGGCACTTATTATTATTCCCAGAACTCCAGAGGTATGGGCAGGTGTGGACCCTTGTAAGATCAAGGATAGCCTTGTCTACAGATCAAGTTTTGGGCCAGCTGAGGCTACAGGAAGACCCTGTCTCAAAACCCAAAAAGAAAGAAGAAAAAAAGAAGAAATGAATGGTACTAATATTTCAAGAGAAAATATAAAGTCTTAGAGTACCTGATGGTCTCAAATTAAAATTGGATGACATACTTAAAACTTTCCCCAGAACTACCAAAACGCACAGTGATTAAGACAGAATGATAATTCTTTAAATAAGCATATGTCAGTATAACAAAGCTGAAAGCCCAGAAACAGACTCAGACCTCATTTCCATGTGGTTTGCTTTATCCAGAGTCTGAACTGTACCATATTCTGAGACAGGGCTGTTTCCTCTTCACCTACATTTCTACTGATAAATCCTCATACATTTATTTTTTACTTTGATGTCTACTTTCAAATACCTAAATTAAATTGTTCTCATATATATGTGTATGCATGTATATATGTATGCACTCTACATAATATATATTATATACAATGTATGATATCATATACAATGCATGATATATGCATGTGAACACACAGATGAAAGGATATAAAAATTGATACATGTCAATAAATATAAATTCCAGATCAGGCCCACTTTTGTTGTACTGTAACAGCACAGAATAGAATCATGCTAATATTAATAATAACAACTGTGCTATTCTTTTGCTTAATTATTAAGTGACATTTCTATTCTGTGAAGGATGATTTCTGATGAATAATTCAATTAAAGTTTCCACATATTCATCATTGTGTCTTTGCTCCAGATCTCTGTATCTACAACTTGCAGTCTAAGTGTTTGCAAGCACCTGATCAGTGGTTCAGAGCACTGATGGTGGTATGTACATCTACCTGGAGCATTTCTTCCACATCAAATTGATGACAAAGTATCTGTATTTTCATTCATTGGGAATATTTGACCTCTCCACTGTTTTCGAGATATGTGCCCAGTGTGATTGCTACCTAGATGTCCAGGAATCAAAGTTGGGCTATTCATTCTCCTTAAGCTACTACAAAGAGAGTCAGAGGGCACCAGAATGTCCGTGTTACATTAGTCTTCTTTCTTGGACTTGCTTGCCTGGCTTTGAGTGCAGCTGTCTCTTTTTCAGCTTATGATGGAGTGTGAATCTCTTACCTTATACATGGTGAACAGAAAGCACTGTAGCAGAAATTCCAAAAGCATCCATGAGGCCAAACATTCTACCTCTACTGAGGATGAGTAAAAGACAAGATCTGCTTATTTAAAAATATGCATAATTTCCAGCAGTTCTGGCATGGCCTTATTCCTACATTTTGATTTCCTACTTGTCCTTGCAATAAACTCCAGAATTACATCTTTTCCCACTTTTGACTCTTCTATCACCCCATCTTCTTATAGAATGCATGGTCCAGCTAAAACAATTGTATCACAGCATGGACACAGGCACCACTCAAAATTAACGATTTGTTATCATTTTACATGTTGGAACAAGTCTAGGCCTGTAATTATACCTATATTAATAATTCATTGCTACAAACATAAAGGCATAGCAGATGTTTTGCTTCACTCTTGTGGGAGGAAGTCCAAGATGCATGATTTTTTCCAGTATTTTTAAAAGATATATTAAGGACTCAATGTAATGGCAAGATAGAGTCTCTACAGTTTATCTGTGAAAATTTACAGCCAATATATTCTCATTCTTTTCTATTCCACATGACAGCAGCAATCATAACAGATCTTCTGACCTCTGCTGCATTGCATGACACGTGCACACTCACATATATGCAGGCAATACACTCATACACATAAAATAAAAATAAGCTGGGTGTGGTGGCGCAGGCCTTTAAGCCCAGCACTTGGGAGGCAGAGGAAGGCAGATCTTTGTGAGTTCGAGGCCAGCCTGGTCTACATAGTGAGTTTCAGGACAGCTGAGGCTACAAGGAGACCCTGACTCAAAAAGACAATAATAAATAAAAATATTTTAAGAGCTTCTTTACAGCAAAGGAAACAGTCAATTTAGTGAAGAGTAAACTCACATAAGGAAAGGGTATGTGGGTCAGCCATAAATCCACTCAGGGACTAAAATCCATAATACACAAGGGACTCAAACACAAAGAATCAAGGAAAGAAATGACATAATTATAATGTGGGCAATGGATCTGAGGAAAGAGTTCTCAAGGGAAGAACAAAACGGCAAAGAAATATCCTTAAAAGCCTTCAGCATGCCAGGCGTGGTTCTGCACTCCTTTAATACCAGTACTCAGAAGGCAGAGGCAGGCCGATCTCTGTGAGAGTAAGGCCAGCCTGGTCTACATAGTGAGTTCCAGGACAGCTGGGGTTACAGGGAGACCCTGTCTCAAAAAGACGCCCCCATAAAAGCGTTCAACATTGTTAATAGTTAGGAAAATGCAACTAAAACTACTTTTAAGATTTCTTCTTATGCCTATCAGAATGGTTAAGGTCAAGAACATCCAACAATAAACGCTGGCAAAACATGTAAGAAAAAGAAATCCTTTTTTTGCTGATGGTGGCATTGCAATCAGGTACAGTCTGTTTTCTGTCATTTATGCATTCCAGCCAGAATCTTTACATGTGAGTGTACATTCTGAAGTAGCTTTGGGAGCCAAGAAAGTAGAAATGAAGCATCATGGGAGGGAAGGAGAAGCTTGAGAAACAGTGCTGCAAAGGGAAATAATGAAGGAGAAATAAATAATATTAAGGTTGTCTGAAAAGCCATAGGAAAGTATAATATACATTATATACATATGTGTGTATGTATGTGTACATATGTGTATATCTGAAGACAATATAACAAAAATTTC